TAAAGTAAAGTAGGTAAATAAACAATAAAGTAGGGGTAGGGGGCGAATGGGTACTTTCGCATAAAAAGTTTACCAAAATTAGATACCTAGTATAAATAAAAGTAGTAAGTTAATTTTGGGATATCAAGAAGGAAATGTGGAAGTTAATTTTTGGATAGAGGAAGTAATAAAGTAGATCTTGTATCCGTGCGCACCAGTGTCCAGCCCAACATATAGGAGTCGTAACATTCACACGGCTGTTGCTGGTTTACTAGTGTTTCCTGGTTTCCATTTTATAGCGTTTTTCTTTCTTTTACCCGGCGCGGCCTTGGCCGTGCATCTGGTGGCTACGCATTGCCATATTTATAGTATTATCCATTCATGTATCTTCTTTTCTCTGTTTCTTTCTACTGATCTTCTTCTGAAAAATTAAAACCCGATCTAGATCAATTTTTTTCCTTAGGGTATTTTAGGTAGTTTGAAGGAAAGAGAAGGGGAGGACTGTGGAGGTATGTTGTTGGAGGGAAAAAGGAGGGGAATGTGAGAAAGTCTTTTTTTTTTTGTATTTGAGAGTAATAAATTTGGAAGAACAGAGGTTTTGAAGGAATTATAATTCAAATCACTTTGAAACATGACGAATTCAAATAATTGAACTGATATTCATTTTTAATTGAGTTTAAGTTGTCATTTCATTAAGTATCATTCAAAACCTTCCAAATTGGAGTAACTTAAAAATTGAGCATTTAGAGCATCTATAATGTTATAATGTCCACGGTGCACTTGTGGCATGAGTTATAGCCACATAAATATTAACAAATAAATTATTTCTCTCCTTATTTGAATGATTTTATACAATTTTGGTAAGTTTTTCCCTGCAATGTCAACAACAATGTCAACATCTAGACGGTCTCCTTGACAGTGTGGAGAAAAACTTACCAAAACTGTATAAAATCATTCAAATAAGGAGAGAAAGAATTTATTTACTAATATTTATGTGGTTATTTCTAATGCCACCTGTGCACCGTGCACATTTTACCATTGGAGATGCTCTTAGAGAGTTTTGGGGTTTACAAGCCCTCCAAAATCATCCTCTTCAATTTTCAAAACTCCCAAACATGAAAAGGAGGGTGATATACCGCCCTCAACCTTCCCCTTCCTCCAAAACCCTCAACTCCCAAACATACCCTCAACGTTATCAACTCAAACATAGCTCCGTACCATTCTTCTTCAATCAACTTAATACTTACTCCGTATAGCTCAATTTTTTTAGTAGGACCAAAATCTAAATTTAAAATTTTGAGCCCATTAAAATTTCAAAGCAGCTTTATATTCCACAAAATTTTTACCTTTTGGCTTTATTCTTTTATATACATACATATATTATATATAAAGTTTCATTTTTTATTTTTAATAGATTTATTCGAGTTTTTCTTACTTTTGAAAGTTAAATGATAAAGAAAGGAAGAAAGGAAGTCTTAGGATGTTTTTACTTGGACTGTAATTTGTCCCAGACCAGCCCAGACCAGTCCAGACCAGACTTGGATAGTTATAAAAATACAAAAAAAACAGACCTTACCAGACCAGACCAGACCTTACCAGTTCAGACCAAACCAGACCAGACTAGACCAGAAAATTACAGTTCAAATAAAAACATCCTTAATTTATTGCAAGTAAGATATTTGGGAGTCGTAGTTTATTGTAAGAAAGATACTTGCGATAAATATATACTACATCCGTTTTCTTTTAAATGCAACATTGAACTTTTTGCACTATTCACATGTTCGATTTTGACTCTATTTTATTTATTAATGTATTATAAATTAAATTTAAAAAAAAATTGTTAAATTCCTCTCATTTTAAATTTTCAAAATCTAATTGTTTTACTAATAAGGAAGGAAAGATATTAATGGTCAAACTTGTGCGTTGACAAACATGAAAAATGAACCGTTGCAATTAAAAAAGAACGGAGGAAGTATAATATTCACTAGTGTACTTACTCATATTAAGTAAGACTCCTAAAAGCATATAGGAAGTACTCCCTCCGTTCTTTATTATCTGTCCCGCTAGCCTTGGGCACGGGTTTTAAAAGAAAAGTAGTAGGGTAAATGTAGAGTGTGTATGGTAAATGATAAAGTAGGAAAGAGAGTATATTAAAAAGAGTAAAGTGGTGATAAAGTGATGATAAAGTAGAAAAGAGAGTATATTAAGTAGAGTAAAATTATGATAAAGTAGGAAAGAGAAAGTAGTTTGTAAAAAGTAAGAGGGGTAGAAGTAAAAAAAGTGGAGGTATTTTATCAAAAACTTTCCTAAAATAGAAAGAGAGACAAATAATAAAAAACGTCCCAAAATGGAATGCGAGACAGATAATAAAGAACGGAGGAAGTATAAATTATGAAATCTAGTCTATTTATCAAGTTCATATTAGTTTTTTGCAATTGATTATATACTCCGTATTAAGTAATACTCCTCCGTCCCTAATAACTTTGTCATGTTTGACCGACACGAAGATTAATAAAGTAAAAACTGTGTAATTGAGATTGGAACCACAAATTCTTTACTTAAAAGGGAAAGTGACAAAGTTAATGGAACATCTAAAAAAGGAAAATTGACAAAGTTTTAAGGGACGGATGAAGCACTTCTTTTGGTGGTTTGTAATTCACGATATCCTTTAGATTTTTGTCGTTATCAGCATACTAGAGGCTTGGTTTACATAGCGTTTAAAAAGCTCAAGCATTGAATTGGTGCAGCAATGGGGCCAAGGAATATAGTGGTAGGAAACCTTGGATGGCATTGATATAAAAAATGATCTTTGTACACACTCTTATACCCACTTTTATACACATCTATATTTGTGAATTTTTTTTTTGTCTGTGAACCCCGGCTCACAGACAATATTTTGCACAAACAAAATATTATCTGTGAACCCGGGTTCACAGGAAAAAAACCTCCACAAACATGTTAGGTATAAGGTGAGTATAAAAAGTGGGTATGTTGCATTGATATGGCCATCAAAGTTTTCTTGTACAGCCTGGCTTTGTTTTAGAAACCAGATGTCTACAGCAAATACCTTGTACTTTTTGGATACTCCGTATTAATAAAGACTAGAGTGTGTCATGTACTTTTTGGATCTTAATAAAGACTAGAGTCTGTCATTCTGATTTGGAGTGTTTGAGCATCTTTTTTTGTGTCCGTTTGGCTATTTGTTCATGAAAATAGCCATAAAAAATAGTTTAGTCAATGTTTAAACTTATACGGTTTATCAGTATTTTCGTGTTTAACTAGTGTAACACCCGGGGCATGTCCCGGTAGTGTTAATTTGATATAGATCAGGTGACAAATACCAATAAACATTGTGATTTGTGAACTATTCATATGGTATGATCAATTTTTCTTTTTATTTCCTTTATGAACTAACCATCATCATGGAATACGGGTGACGAATCACCATCTTTTGGGGTATGAATTTGTGGTCATATTGAAGTATGTGCTTATTGATGTAATAATTATTAATTATATATAGGACTAATTATATGATGAGAGATGATAAGAAGTAGTGTTGAATTGGAATTGACAATATGTGGAGCTTACAATTTTATACTCCGTATTATTTTGGACACGTGAATTATCGGCATTGTACATTTAGAGTCTCATTCACATGAACTAAAGTTTCATTATTTAAAAAAAAAATTGATCTTGAATTAGAACCTTGTATGGTTAATCAAATGTGTTACATTAATCTTGTATGGTTAGAGTTCTATTAGGTGTATTAGAGTGTCATTATTCAAAGAATTTGATGTTGTGCTACTATTTTGTAAACTGAATTAATATGGTATTTATTGTGAGAATTGTACTCTATTAATATGGTTGATACTGAGGAGTTGTTCTATTCGTGTAATATGAATATTTATGATATGAAATTTAAATCAACATAATCAGCTAGATCAGTCGATTCAATCAATTCTAGTGTTATTAAAAGGGTTCATAATTGGTGATCTAAATTTTCCTTCGAAATATATGAATAGTCTTTTATGTGAAATTAGATTTCAGAGTTGTTTTAAATTTATTTGGCAATTTTTTTTTTTAAAGAATGCAATCTTTTTTTATCTTTTTTATCTTTATTTTCTTTCTTTTCCTTTGGTGATATCATGTATCGATTCATGTTAGCCGACCCCAATATCGTTTGGGACTAAGGTTTGGATGTTGTTGTTGTTGAATGCAATCTTTTTTTAATAACAGTTAGAGTTAATATATATTGATCATTTGATCGTGTTTCCAGCCACAAAAATATATTGATAGTATATTTATACTTCCTACTGGGATGTTGCGAAAAAAAAAAAGATCTCCAGGTGGGATGATATTAAATATATTATGGAGCATCAAATTAGAGTCCTAGTATGCCCGAATTAGAATCCTTCGGTGTTTTTACAATCGGTTAAACCGTTAAAGAGATAAGATTTTGTCTCAAACTACATCATTCGTTTTTTTAATTAAATGTTTTAATAAAAGAATTTTAATATAATTTCTCTTAACCAATAAGCTTGTGACACATCAACCTTTTAAAACTAAGTTTTACTATTAAAACAATAGATTTTGTTCTCACATCACACCAAATCTGAACCGGAGTAATTTTAATTAAGGTCAAAGTAGTCTTATCACGGTTGCATTAAGTAATTTTAGGGGTTGGTAGTGGCTAGGGGTTAAGAAATGAGAGAATTCTCACAGTAAAACATGCTCCCACTCCTAGAGTTAATATTTGGAGCAGTTTTACCAAATACTAGGGATTAAAATCTTGTGGTACGGTTAACCAACGGGTAGGAAAAACAGTTTACGCTACAGTTACGCCGTTACAGGTTTTAAATTAAATACCGCCGGTTAACTGTTAATAAAAGGTTAAGACATTACTCCCGAATTTATACCGTCAAAGTCCAGAAATAGGAGTGGATGTCCATAGGCATGGACCGGGCCCGGGTTGGCGCGGGTTTCGGGACGGGTCGGGGTGGGACTGGGGTTTTGGGATGAAGGCCCGGTACCGGCCCGGGTTGGTACCGAGACCGGGCCGGGGCCGGGTCAGGTCGGGTCTAAGTTTTTTTTTTTTTATTTGTTTTTTCCGATTTTATTCCTACCCCCAAACCACCCAGCCCCACCCGCCTAGCAGCCAATTAATGGGAAAAAATCAAAAAAAAAAAAAAAAGGACCGGCCGGGCCGGTTCACATTTTGCAAGGCCCGTAGCCCACCCCTCTACCACCCGATTCGGGTCCCTAGTCCCGGTACTGCCTGGTCGGGGCTGCACAGTACCGGTCCGGTCCAGGTCCCGGGTCGGGCCGACCCGTCATAGTCTAGTCCATCCCTAGATGACCATAGTTTCCTAAATAGGACTTATTTGTGATTGAAGATTAAGAACCCTCGTTATGTTAGGGAACTAGGAGGCAATTACTTATATGAATAGTAGAAACGTACGTAGTAATATTTAATCTTACTTAAAGAATATAAAAACATGAACTATTCAAGGAATAGGACCATGTTTTTGTACTATTTAGTGCAATTTTACCTTGAGAGATCTAATTCAACACTTGCTGGTGTACTTTAAAGTTAAAGATGCTAAACTTAGAGTAATTAAGGCAGTCCTTTTAACCATTTGCAGTTCTACACTTCTACTCATACTATTTGGAAAGGCTAGATTACTACGGAGTAGAATTTTTTATGCTGCTGCTACTAGGGGTGGGCAAGAAAAGTCGTAACCGGCAAACCATGGTAAATAACCGGAAAACCGGTGTTTTTTCCGGTTAACCATACCGTGTTTTTAAAATCTTGTGGTACGGTTAACCAACCGGTAGGAAAAACAGTTTACGGTACGGTTATGCCGTTACGGGTTTTAAATTAAATACCGCCAGTTAACCATTAATAAAAGGTTAAGACATTACTCCCGAATTTATACATAGATTCTGCTTATCAATTTTCGAATTACTGTTCATATCTATTCCAGATATATTTAGTACTCCGTACTACGTATTTGGTAAAACTGCTCTTCAACATGCATGTCAATATACTTTGGCTGCGAGGCTGCAATTTGAGTGTTTAACAGAAATCCAGTATGAATTCATAAAACAATGTTGACACACCAAGACCATCAGTTCACTTTGCCAGAAACAATCCTGGTCCTAAGAGGCAATGGCAGCTTGGTGACAATATTGGTGGAGGCCATGGCCGCCGAAAGAACAGGGCCGCAGCTCCCAGCCATACTGGACAAATGGGTGATACAATTGTTGAATATAGGGGAGATACAATTGTTGAACAAGGCTTCTCTGGACACATGGGTGATACAATTGTTGAATATAGGGGAGACTGAGAAAATCATAAATACTGAACGAATGGATGAATTACTACACGCTCCAGCTAGAATTGGGAAATCCCTGGGAACGCACAAGCTAAGACATGGAAATAGGCAAATAGCTGAACTGCCTTGGCTGAAAACGGATTTTCTACAATGGAATTTTCGGTTAACCAACTAATGAATTGAACGGTTAACCTATATTGCGGTTAATTGTTACCTGGTTAACCGTATATACGGTACGGTTAATGATATTATAAACATACTAACCGATATCTCGGTTAACCATAGGTTGGTTAACCGAAATACGGTTAACCAACCGTGTCCACTCCTAATTAATACAGTCTTTCATTTTTGAATAGCAGATATCGACATTGCAAGTAAACCCAGAGTCTCTTTTAAACAAGAAATTGGGAAATCATGTTTTAACATGAAAGAACAAGCTGAGCACCGGCAGGGGCCAACACAACTCTGATAAAAGGCACTCCATTCAGCTACACTTTTGTAATGAATACAATATCATGACGAGCAGGAATGTCACCTAGAGAACCCTTGCAAAATTTCAGAAAATACTTATGTGTTAAATTCACCATAATTTAATCAAAACCTCTCAGCCAAACGGGCGGTGACTGCTCTAAGCTTGGAATACACCTTCCCAGCAGGAGACCCCATAATCAGACTGCAAAGTGAATCTCTTGCAACCTTTATATTTGTATATGAATCTTAGTATCAGCAATCACAATGCGTGTTTTCGTCGAGTTCTCAATAGCAAACTTGGTCTTTCCTCCTTTACCAGATAACCTTCCAATCGCCCTGGACAAATGCTCCCCTCGGAGTGTCTTCACATCCTTGATCTCAAATGAATCAACATATAGCTCGTCCACCCGGAGGAGAGCATAAAGGCGTTCACAAAGTCAGCGGACTTCTGGATGTTGCTGATGTCAGGTCGGGTCTTTAGCTCCACCCTACGGGCCTTGAGATTCATACGTATGTCAACTTTCATCTGCTCAAAGATTGGGGTGTAGATGTCCATCCAGGCTTTCTTCAAAGGTGTGTATCTATGCGACGGCACAGGAATTTTTCGGAACTGCACCTGGCCATCGGATATTTCATGCGCTGTAAGTGGCTTGAAGTTTGGCTTAACTGGAAGGCTGCCTGGATTGCTAGCAGGAGGTGGGTCACATCAGAGGTTACATTCTCGATTTCCATGGTTGAAATCCGAGTAAGAGAAAACCTGGCAGAGTATGAATTCAGAAAAGAGGGAGTATAAAATAAAGGTAGGGTTTGGGTCAATCTGAAAATGACATTTTAATGATTATTTTTATTGTAAGATTTTGAGAGTGGTTTATAATTGTGTTGATCTAAAAGCAATCTGACTTTGCGGTCAAAAACATGTTTGATTGTCAAACAACTAAAAATAATAATCCGATTTTGGAATAATATACAATGTCATTTGAGAAAACGAATTCCACACACACAATACTCTCTTTTCCTCATATACGGCGTGTCAGTATCATATAATATGCTTATATGCTAATAAATTAAGGGATGATTAAATATACTCAAATCATACATTTTAATGGTTAGTGGCATGGGAATAACTTTGATTAATAAAAAAGGCAAGGCTGAAATGATTTCATGAGTAACCTGCTACTAAAAAATTAGTTGCATGTTAAGAAATAGGCCTGTCCAGTTAAAAACTGATTAGCAAATATATGAATACAAACTCTCTGCAGAAGCATTATAAAAATCATTTTACTAACATGCGTACAGATCAAGGAACACGATGAAAATGAGCTGAAGAGATCAAGTCCAACATTCTAAATATAAAAAAAATCGGTAGATTTGTAGAGTATGGGTCAATATATATAGAAGTCTAGGCAAGGCGAGAAGTCCGTGACAAAGTACTACACCGACCTCCAGATGCTTTGGCAGGAGATGGACCTCTACTGTGTACAAGTGGAGCTGCTCAAAAGACAGCGCCTTGTACCAGAAGATTGTCGAGAAAGGGAGAGTATTTGACTTTCTAGTTGGCTTGAATGCAGATCTTGATGAAGTCAGAGGCAGAATTCTTGGTCGAGATCCACTTCCAAGCACACGTGAGGTTTTTTCAGAAGTCCGGAGAGAAGAAAGCCGCCGTCAAGTCATGTTGGGACCCGGGGTTAGTGATGCTGCACCAACACGTCCAGAGATGAGTGCTATGGTGACTTCCAAACCTGATTTCAACAACCGGTTCCCAAAGAAATCTGACCGGCCAACCTGTGAACACTGCAACAAGGTTGGACACATCAAAGCTAAGTGCTGGAAACTCCATGGCAAGCCAGCTGATCTCCCACGACCCTTCAACGACAACAAAAGTGCTCTTCAAGTCTCCCAGCCGACACCAAGCAGCCCCAGAGCTTCACCATCGACTCCAGAACAGTCTTTCTTCTCTAAAGACAATTTAGAGCAATTGTTCAAGCTATGGACCACTCATCAGTCATCATCATCCCTAGCACAAAAAGGTATCCATGTGACAGCCCTTAAAACAACCTTAGATAATTTCAATCCATGGGTCCTAGAATCAGGTGCCACAAATCATATGACTGATTCGTCCTATCTTTTTCATACATATTACCCTTGTTCTGGTCATGAAAAAGTGAAAATTGCAGATGGATCTCTTTCTGCTATTGCTGGGAAAGGTTCAATTATTTTATCCCCATCCATTACCTTATCAAATGTCCTTCATGTTCCTAAACTTGCCTATAACCTGTTATCTGTCCATAAATTGACAATTGATTCACAATGCAAGCTCACTTTTGTACCTTCTGGTTGTGAATTTTAGGACCTATGCTCCGGGAAGATGATTGGCAGTGCTAAAGAATATGGAGGGCTATACTACTTCAAATCCGAGGCAACCTTGAATAAACAAATTCAGAAACCTCATTGTTCTAGTTTATTTTCAGTATCTGATAAAATAATGTTATGGCACTTTCGTTTAGGTCATCCAAGTTTTAGTTATTTGAAGCATTTGTTTCTTTCTATGTTTCAAAATGAGAACATTGATCTTTTGCAATGTGAAATTTGTCAATTAGCAAAACACAAAAGGTCTAGTTTTCCTACTTTGAAATATACTCCATCGAAACCTTTTGCTTTAATTCACAGTGATATTTGGGGACCATCACGTGTAAAAAATATAACAAATACACGGTGGTTCATTACTTTCATTGATGATCATACTAGAAACACATGGATATATCTACTAAAGGATAAATATGAGGCTGAAAATGGTTGAAACCCAATTTAACAGCAGAATACAGATTTTAAGAACTGATAATGGCAGAGAGTATTTTAATAAAATTCTTGGTGAGTTTTTAATTGAAAAAGGCCATAATCCATCAAAGTTCTTGTGTTTATACACCTCAACAAAATGGAATTTCCGAAAGAAAAAATAGACACCTACTTGAAGTTACTCGAGCTCTAATGTTTTCAATGAATGTTCCAAAACGTTTTTGGGGAGATGCTTTATTAACTGCTTCATATCTAATTAATAGAATGCCAAGCAAAATTCTTAGCTATAATACTCCCATTAAAACACTAAAAAAATATTTTCCTGAAAATAAATGTTTCACACATCTTTCTCCGAAAATTTTTGGATGTACTGCTTTTGTTCACATTCATAATCATGATAGAGGAAAATTGGATCCAAGAGCAATTAAATGCATTTTTCTTGGCTTTTCCCCTACACAAAAAGGTTTTAAATGCTATGATCCCAGCTCGGGTAAATTCTTTGTAAGTATGGATGTCACATTTTTTGAAAACAAACCTTTCTTTGACAAAAACTCTCTTCAGGGGGAGAAAAATGATAATGAAGAGTGTTTTTGGGAATTAAATCATACTCTGCCTATTTCTTTGTCTTTGCCTACATCTGATCGTGTGCAAAATGATATTTCATCATATAATGAAAATGAAACTGATTCAATTGAGGAACCAAGTACTGATTTTCGTGTTAACTCAAGAGTGCAATCGGAGAATGAAGTTGAAACCCCAACAGTGTCATCATCGGAACCGGACTCGGGTCAAGGTAACACATCTCCTATCACCTCTAACTCACCCATAACCACTGAAATTAGTGATGAGTCAGCAGAAAGCCTAGATGCAACCGAAAGCCTAGATGAGCCTATTGCCCTTAGAAAAGGTACCAGAAAGTGCACTACCAGAAAAGCCGATAAGTTTCCCATGTACCCTTTGTCTAATTATGTCTCATATCAAAACCTTTCTCCTACCTTTAGAGCCTTTACCACTAATCTTATGGCTGATGAGGTCCCTAGTTCTATACATGAAGATCTAAGTAGTCCCAAGTGGAAGGAGGCTGTTTTAGAGGAAATGAGAGCTCTAAAGAAGAATGAGACTTGGGAGATAAAAGAGTTACCTAAGGGAAAACGGACGGTTGATTGCAAGTGGATTTTTACGATCAAGTATAATTGACAGGTACAAAGCAAGGCTGGTTGCTCGTGGGTTTACTCAAACCTATGGGATTGATTATGAGGAGACTTTTGCACCGGTTGCCAAGCTTAACACAGTCCGAGTCATACTCTCCCTTGCCGTGAATCTTGACTGGCCACTACGACAATTCGACGTTGATAGAACACTGGTATTAAGCTATACAAACTATATCAAATCGGCAGATGGATGTAAGAACAGATCAAGAGATTATTATTGAAAGAGAGAACTCTAGATAGGTCGTACAAGCTCAAGGACTATTCGAGAAGCCCAAACTCCTGACAGCCAATTATCCAGAGCAACAACCTGCCCTACTAGGCTAACAGACTTCTATTTATAGTAATATTCCACGCAGGGAATTTATTAATAGGTAACCGACTCATAACTAATTACTGGCTACCCCCTCCCTTATTCCTCCTATGATAGACTTTATTGAAGTATTTAATAGGCCTGTCACTTATAAGCCTATCATTACTCCCCCCCTGGAAATTCACCTTGTCCCCAAGGTGAAAATCTGGGAAGTGCTCTCTCATCATCTGTAGCAATTCCCATGAATCTTCAAAACTTGGTAGGTTTTTCCAGTGTATCAGAACTTCCACATTGCCTGCTTGATTTACCCTGGAATCCATCACTGCTTCAGGTATCACTTGGAGCTCCATTTCTTCACTCAAACATTTAGGAAGTGGCTGAAATTGAGTAGTGGGGGCAATCACTTTTTTTAGTAATGAAACATGAAACACAGGATGTATTTTGCTGTCGTCTGGCAACTGCAGTTTGAAGGCTACACTGTTGATCTTCTCTATGATTTCAAAAGGCCCATAATATCTTGGACTCAATTTTTGATTCACCCTCTTGGCTAAGCTTTTAAGTTTATATGGCTGAATCTTCAAATACACTTGATCTCCCACCTCCAGCTGTATATTCCTCCTGTGTTTGTCAGCCTGTTGTTTCATTAAGTTTTGGGCCCTAGCCAAGTTCATCTTTAACTCCTCTAGCAAAGCATTCCTTTGAGCAGTCAGTCTGGACACCTCTTCTACTGCAGTTAGTGTTACATCGCCCTTAACTATTGCAGGAGGATCCAGCCCAAAGAGAGCCTTGTAAGGGGTTTGTTTTAGTGCTATGTGATAATTGGTGTTGTACCAATATTCAGCCCAGTGAAGCCATTGACTCCATTGCTTTGGCTTCCTTCCTGTGAGGCACCTTAAGTATGTTTCTAAGCACCTGTTTACCACCTCGGTCTGCCCATCTGTTTGAGGGTGGTAAGCAGTGCTATATTTTAGCTGAGTTCCTGCCAGTTTAAAAATTTCAGACCAAAATGAGCTCAAAAACACACTGTCTCTATCACTGACAATGGTTTTAGGGAATCCATGCAGCTTAACTACTTCCTTAATGAAGATTTCTGCCACCTCCTTTGCATTGAAGGGGTGAAATAAGGCTATGAAATGAGCAAATTTTGTAAATCTGTCAACCACTACTAAAATAGTGTCTTTTCCTTGGGATCTGGGTAATCCCCCAATGAAATCCATGCTTATATCTGTCCAAATACTGGTTGGAATAGGTAGGGGCTGCAGTAACCCTGTGGGTTTAAGAGCTTGATACTTGTTAGTCTGGCAGATAGCACACTCCTCCACATATTTCTTTATATCATTCCTCATCCCAGGCCAGTAAAATAGTCCTTCCACCCGCTTCATTGTTCTAAAATATCCAGAATGCCCCCCTACAGCTGAATCATGGTATTCTTTCATAATTTTCTGAACTCTGGCAGACCCCTTTGGTAAAACCAATCTTTTCTTGTAGTAGAGTAAGCCTTTAATGATCTGAAACTCCTTCTTTTTGTCTGGGTATGAAATCACCTGCTGGATTATCTCTTGACATTTAGGATCTTTATTCAATTCCTCCTCCAGACCCTCCCATTCTTGGCAACTGACAACTGACAGGGACTGCAATGCATATTTTCTGGATAAAGCATCTGCAGCCTTGTTCTCCACCCCGGGTTTATATTTTATGGTAAAATTATAGCCCAGTAATTTAGAGGTCCACCGCTGTTGTTCCTCGCCCATGAGTCTTTGTTCAGTTATAAACTTCAAGCTTTTCTGATCAGTGTGGACTTCAAAGGGTCTGCCCAGCAGATAGGGTCTCCACTTCTGAATTGCTAGGACAACTGCCATCAATTCCCTCTCATAGATGGACTTATTCTGATTTCTTGTTGATAACTCCTTGCTCATGTATGATACAGGTCTCCCATCTTGCATCAAGACTGCTCCCAACCCCGTACCTGAAGCATCAGTCTCAATAACAAACATTTTGTTGAAATCAGGTGTTGCTAATACAGGCAGTGTTGTCATAATTTTTTTCAGTTCTACAAATGCTTGTTCTGCTTTCAAATCCCAGTGGAAATTATCTTTCTTCAAAAGATTAGTAAGAGGGAAGGCAATCTTACTATATCCCTTTACGAATTTTCTGTAGTAACCTGTTAGCCCAAGGAATCCCCTCAACCCTTTTAAATCCTTAGGTGCAGGCCATTGTAGCATAGCTTCAATTTTTTCTGGGTCAGCTGATACCCCTTGTCCAGAAATTATATGGCCTAAATAGACCAACTTGGATTGTCCGAATGAGCATTTCTTCAAATTGATCTTCAACTGGTTCTTCTCCAAAGCAGATAGTACATCTCTCAAATGTTTTTGATGTTCCTCAATAGATTTGCTGTAGATTAATATGTTGTCGAAAAACACAAGAGCAGATTTTCTGAGAAAAGGCCTCAATACCTGATTCATTAATGCTTGAAACGTAGGAGCATTGGTCAATCCAAATGGCATCACAAGATATTCATAATGACCTTCGTGTGTTCTGAATGCAGTTTTCTTCCTGTCCTCTTCTTTCATTCGGATCTGATGGTATCCAGACTTCAAATCTAACTTGGAAAAAATTCTGGCTCCACCCAGCTCATCTAATAGCTCATCAATAATAGGTATTGGAAATTTGTCAGGTATTGTTATTCTATTCAATGCCCTGTAATCACCACAGAACCTCCACCCCCCATCTTTCTTCTTTGCCAAGAGTATGGGGCTGCTGTAGGGACTGTTACTAGGTTGGATAATTCCAGAGCTCATCAACATCTCCTGTATAATTCTTTCTATTTCAGTCTTTTGATATTGGGGGTACCTGTAAGGTCTAATGTTGGGTATGTTGGCTCCCTCCTGAATGTTAATGGAATGATCACAGCTTCTAGATGGAGGTAATTCTTCCAAGGGTTGTGTTATTTCTGGAAATTCAGCCAAGATCTCCTTCCATATGCAATCCATATCCTTCCCTTTCTCCATCTGCATTAGACTTCCTTCATAGTATATCAGATACCCATCTCCATTGTCTTGTATAATTTGTGTTAATGTCTTCAATGAAACTTCCATTGAACTTAATTTTGGGTCCCCCGGAACTGAATGATTGTGCCCTGAACTCTTCCAGTTAATGGTCTGGGTCTGCTTCTGAAAGTTTATTTCAACATCTCCCAGGCTGGTAAGCCACTCCATGCCCAGAACTAAGTCAGTTCCTCCCAGATTTAGGATGTAAAAATCCTGTTTTATATCAGTAT